AGAAGTGAAAGACCTTTAAAATGAGAACTACAAAACACTGCTCAAAGAAATCCAAGAAGACACAAACAAATGGAAAAATATTCTATGCTCATGGATAGCAAGAATTGACGTTGTTAAGATGTCCATCCTACCTAAGGCAGTCTACAGATTGAACACAATACCCATTAAATTACCAACATCATCCTTCTCAGACCTGGAAATAACAATACAGAAATTCATATGGAAACATAAGTGACCACAAATAGTCAAAACACTCCTTAGGAAAAGAAACAAAGCAGGTGGAATCACACTTCCAGACTTCAAACTTTACTATAAGGCTACAGTAATCAAAACAGCCCAGCCTGGTACTGGTACAAGAACAGGCATACAGACCAAAGGAACAGGATAGAGATTCTGGAAGCAAAGCCTCAATCAACTTATCTTTGACAAAGCCTCCAATAACAACCACTGGGAAGAGGAAAACCTATACAGTAACTGGGAAAACTGGCTGGGAAAACTGGCTGACCACATGCAGAAGATTAAAACAGGACCCCTACCTATCACCATATACAAAAAAATTAACTCTAAATGAATCAAAGACCTAAACGTAAAACCTCAAACTATAAGAATTTTAGAAAATGCAGGAGAAACCCTTATGGAAATTGGAATTGGCAACCAATTCCTGATCAGAACCCTAAGTGCCCATACCATAAGAAATAAGATAGACAAGTGGGATCTCATCAAACTGACCAGTTTTTGCAAAGCCAAAGAAACCATCAAGAGGGCAAGGAGACAGTCCACAGAATCGGAAAAAATATTTGCCAACTGTATATCTGACAAAGGCCTAACATCTAGGATCTACAAGGAACGCTAATGTGCCAAAAAGAAAAAAACAAACAGCCCCAATCAAAAGTGGGCAAAAGACATGAATAGACACTTCTCAAAAGAAGATATAAGGGCAGTCAACAGACACATGAAAAAGTGCTCAGCTTCACTCATCATCAGAGAAATGTTAATCAAAACCACACTGAGATACCACCTAACCCCAGTAAGAATGGCCATCATTAATGAAACAAACAACAACAGATACTGGCGAGAAAGCAGAGAAAAAGGAACACTTCTACACTGCTGATGGGAATGCAAACTAGTGCAACCTCTTTGGAAGACAATGTGGTGATTTCTGAAAGAACTAGAAATTGACCTTCCATATGACCCAGCAATTCACCTACTGGGAATATACCAGAGGAACTCAAATCATTCTACCAAAAAGATACCTGCACATGCATGTTTGTTGCAGCTCTATTCACAATAGCAAAAACATGGAACCAACCATGCTGCCCGTCAAAGCTGGACTGGATTTTTAAAAATGTGGTACATATACACAAAGGAATATTATGCATCCATAAAAAAGGGCAAGCATATGGTCTTCACAGCAACTTGGATGAATTTAGAGTCAATCATATTCAGTGATCTATTACAGAAACAAAGAACAGAGTACCATATGTTCTCACGCATAAGCGGATCTTGAACAATTATCATAATACTATAAGAAAGGGATTGGTAGTAGTGGGAAACTGCCAGGGGAAGGGGAGTGGGATTGGTAGTTGAGGAAACTTCCAGGGGAGGGAGGAGCACACTGCATAATGGTACCTGCATAATGAACATCTGTATACCTAAACCCTGAATTGTACCCCACATCTTTAAAATAAAAAATGAAAGAACCCCTCACAAAAATGCTTTCTCCTCTCTTCTTCATATGTATATGATATTATTCTGAAAGGAAAAAGAAGTAGACATCAAACATCTTGAAATATAAAGCCCACAATACTTACACATATGAAAATCTCTGGAAATAAATGTGAAATTCAAAATATGGACAGAAGTTGCTTCCGATAACTGGGGTTTGAAGGACTATGTCAGTTGAACTTGTTTCTTAGAATGCAGACACTAAGGTGGAGTTTGAACTGTTAACATTTACGGGGGTTAATACTTAAGAAAGAAAGACAAAGAGGAGAAGAGACAGAAGTAGGCGGGAGGGGGCCTTCCCACCTGTGAAAGGAGAGAGGGAAGAAAGGAGAGCAAGTAGGAAAAGCATAAGAACGAGACACATCCCTGGGAGAGTCTTGGCCAGCCCATGGTGAGGTCCTAAGCAAAGCCTGCCCATAGAAAAGAGAGTTCCACGCGGGGTGAAGTGGTCAGGTCTCTGTGCTCCACCATGCTAAGTCATGCCTAGGCTGTCACGGACACAACCATGACCTCCAACTGTTGTGGCACACCCAGAAGATGCTACACCTGGAAGATGTCCACTCACTTTCTTGTGAGCAAGTTCTTTTAAGGGAGACCTAAGCGACCCACCTCCATGCCTCTCACAGTGACATTATGGTCTGAACTGTTTTCAGTGTTGATTGCATTAAGGACATTTTTCTTGTGACAGATGATTAAAGAACAAGGATATATGAATTTTAATTGTATTTAATTCTTACAACAGTTCTATAAATAAGACACATTCCTATTCCTAACATATCTTATTCCTATTCCTAACATATTTTATAATTGAGGAAATTATGCCTCATTGGCCAAATTCTCACAGTGACATAGCTATGACTAGCACTGAAGTCTTCATACACAATTATCTATTCACTATCTGCCTGCTTTATTTGACTTGTAATTGAATTTTCAATGATTTGAGTTTGGCATGCTCAAATTCCAAAGTGTTTGATTCCCTTTTCAACTATTATCTTATTTTTAGTTTAAAAGTATCACTTGATACCTACTCCAGTAGAGTAATGGAATTTTAGTTTTATCAAAGTATAGCATCTATGCATTACAGACTATTTTGTTTGGACTAAGTTATTGCCATTCTAAATAAATGTATATCTTTCTCATCTTTAATAATATATTGTTATAGCACTTGTTTATGTACTGCATGCATATTCATGGCTAGACACTATTGTAGGTACT